TCGTATAATCAAGCATCTGAGATCAAACACGCACGCAAGCGATGCACGCAGGGGGATTAGCTCAAGTGGTAGAGCGCTCGCTTAGCATGCGAGAGGTACCGGGATCGATACCCGGATCTTCCAGGATTGGCCTTTTTTTGCTTTATAAAACCTTATCTCTCATCAGTTTTTGTTTTCATATTCCCAGATGTAATCACGCTCTGCATTTTGCATTTAGTTTGTCTCGACTGAAATCTGTCATTTTTTAGAACATCGACTAAATGTTCAATCCTTAAAATCAAATATGTACGTACACTTATATATCTGTCTAAAACGATCGATAAGCGATTATCTGTATCATTAAACACAAATGACTCCTGTAGCAAGTACGCCCGATACAATGTCCGTAAAATGAAAAGTGGAAGGATTTGGTGGAATTGTTGATATAATTGTCACGCATCTGAATGTCCTGCTGCTAGTAACATTCAGCTTATTGACACCACGTGTTGCTAAGTCTCACTTTCAAATAAAGCATGACCACCTTAAAGGAGCTGAAATAGATAACAGTTTTGGTAAAAAGAAAAACCTCTGTTCTGAAAGGATTTCTGGCCACATTACAGACACTAATGATACTCCCTGTATAAATAGTTCTCCTGGACCATTTCACATTAACAAATTAATGACAAGAAGTGTGGGCGGGCCACTGAAAACGTACAAGGGTGTGATTTTGATTATTTTTCTCTCAGGTTTCCTGTCTTTGTTTATTTTCTTCTTCAGAAAATCCCATTAAATCTTGTTTTCTATTTGTTTCTAATCTAAGCGTGATTTTTAGTGCTCTGTACAGAGACTTCGTAATCGTGATTTTTCCTGTGCGCACAAGATTGCCGCATCAAAGCCGGACTCCTTTCCTGCTGTTTTATAGCAAAAAGATTTAATGGGTTTTTCTGAGGAAAAACGAACAAAGCCAGACCCAGCTAATCTCAATCTGTGGCCCTATATCACGGCAAACTATTCATTACTCCCAAAGTGGAAAATACTGCCAGTACTGTGGTGGCGCCCTTCCCTGGCCAACTCGAAGCTGTTAATTAACAGAGAGATGCGACACGAGTGTCTCCGTTGTCGGAACCAAATGATGGATTATGCGTCAGTGCACACGGACAATCAGCAAAACACAAAATGGAAAGCCATTTTGGTTTAAGTCTCAAGTTGGCCCAATTCTCTCTATTTTCTTCAGAAACATGCTCTCGTTTGTAGGAAGAATATTATGACTCAGAACGAAGATAAATTCTACACGTATATAGGCTAATCCTTATTTGACTTTTTTCCGTAATTTCATTGATAAACTTGTCCATTGGACAATAAAAATGTTTAGCATTAAAATATATACAGTTATTAAAATCAAAGCTACGTGTGGGGGATTAGCTCAAGTGGTAGAGCGCTCGCTTAGCATGCGAGAGGTACCAGGATCGATACCCGGATCCTCCAGATTAGACAGTTTTGCTTTTTAAAAATCTGCTCCATTTATTAAGTTAAACTCTCTGGATTCGCCACAAAATATCTCACAGAACCTTTCATTTTTAGAGGAATATACTCGCATCTTTTATCACGAGTAGGCTGCAAGCAAGGTGTAATTTTGACTGTACGCGTAATTACATGTACCAAGTTTCGTGGAAATTGTCTGTTCGCGTGGTATTATATGCACAGTACGTGTATTTATTAGAACCA